GTGAGAGAGAGAGAGAGGGGGTCACATCACAGTGGAGTCAGCTGTCTTAACCGTGGCGTGTGTACTGCAAACACATACCAGCTTTATCACTGTGTCTGTCAAACGACTCTGTTCCGCCTTTTGGGCTCTGTCTTTACATTTATTTTGAAAAATGAAGCTCGCGATTATGGTAAGGGGCGTTACATTTCCGACGAGTGCTTGCGGTGTTCGGCCAATCACAATGCACTGCGTCAGCTGGCCAATCAGAGCAGACTGCGCTTGTCGGAAGGAGGGACTTTGTAGAAAACGAAGCGTTTGAGAGAGGCAGGGCATAGAGGACCTACAATAATGTACAGTATTTGAAAAATAATGTGTTTTTTGAACATTAAAGCATGTCAACATATTCTGTTACACCAAATACACAAAATAATGATCTTTAAAAAAGCATCATATGACCCCTTTAAAGGGGCCGCAGCACTGTCTACTAAAAAGTTTGGAGGCGACATACATTGTTTTTGTTGTTGTCGTTTTTTGTGTAGATATGGAAGCCCGTTTCCGCCACTGAATAAAAAATAAAAGAGGTAATTGCGACTTTTTATCTCACAATTCTGACTTTTTTCTCAGAATTGCGTGATACAAACTCGCAATTCTGACTTTTCTTCTCAGAACTGCGTGGTATAAACTCGCAACTGCGAGACATAAAGTCGCAATTCTGAGAAATAAAGTCAGAACTGCGAGATATAAACTCACAATTCTGACTTTTTTTCTCCCAACTGCGAGTTTATATCTAGCAATTCTGACTTTTTTTCTCAGAATTGTGCGATATAAACTCGCAATTCTGAGAACATATCAGTCTTGGACTTTAACTCGCAATTGCGAGTTTATATCACGCAATTCTGACTTTATAACTCGCAATTGTAACGTTATATATCGCAATTCTGACTTTATAACGCGCAATTGCGAGTTTATATCTCACATTTCTGTGAAAAAAAGTCAGAATTGTGAGATAAAAAGTCGCAATTACCTTTTTTTTTTATTCAGTGGCGAAAACGGGCTTCCATATGTAGATGATAAATAACCTTATTTATTTATTTATTAACTTACTTTTTTAACTATTATTATTATTTATTATTATTTCATATTGCATGCAGCTTTATTGACTCCGGACACTCATCTATTAAATGACTGACTATATACTATATATCATATTTGTGTTTGTATTTAATATTGTACATTAACTATTGAACTAGAGTGATTGTTGGTGAATAATTCAAAGGGTCAATATTTTTTCCCCTCGTAATATAATTTTACACCAATAAATACATTTTACTTTCAAAATATATTTATATTTGAAACAGAGACTCATATCAGTAGATTAATAAGAGCTGTTATTTTATATATTTATTTATTTACACTTCCACTTGTCTGAAAAATTAATCATGGCTGATTGCAAAACAGCAACAACAGCATTAACAACAACAACAATACTACTACTACTAATAATAATAATTTGTTAAACAAATAAGCCATAAACACTTTTTGAACTGCCGTAATATTTCATATATTCTCTCAATTAAAATGATCTTTTTAAACTGTAATTACTATTCAACATGACTAATAAAATAGATGACTTCATTGAAGTTAAATTAGATATATTTTAACCATTAAAAATAAAAGGGCATATGCTAAATTAATTTATTCTGTCTCTAAAAAATAATGGGAGTTCAGGCAAAACACCCTAGTTACTGTTATAAAATCACAATAAAATAAATCAATGGAAAATGTGACATTTTTAGATTCTTTGTCATTTTGTTATTATTGCAACAATAGCTGAAGTAAAGTTTTCAAAAAATACATAAGTATAAACAGCAAAAAATAAAGTTATATGGCAGAGTTTTACTTACATTTTTCAAGTGTGACTCTCTGTGACCGTGTGTGGAACTCTCAAACTCTTTTCATGGATCAGGCTCGTGACCTTTGACTGCTAGATTTAGTAAATAATCTCATTTTAAACATTATTCACATATTCTACTGATAAGATTACACTGTATGCAAAGCAAAGGTAAATCAATCACTTTTGGTTAGTCAGTATATAAAGGAAAGCAATGCCTTATGAAAAGTTACTAACCCAACAAGAACACGTTCAACGTCTTTATTATAAATGTCAAACTCACCTAAATGTGTTGCTTTACCGCTAGATGGCGCCAGATATTATAAGAGATGTTTATTGTAAAACGTTTGTCATTTTAATCACATCATTTGTTTGCTGCTTTGCTTCATGACCGACTTTTGATTTCTGTCGCATATTTCATTCTCATGAAACCGTGAATTACGCAAGATCCAACAAGCCTTGTTAATTTTTTTTTTTAACTGAGTTTAATACTAGGTTTCTTTACGCAATAAATCATTCGTGAAGGCTAATTATCTTATCAAACTATACAAAACCTATCATTAACCTTTTAAACTGAATTTTTCAGTAACATATTAGAGACTGTATCATTTAGAGTTAATTCAAAAAGTACATCAGAGTTCACTTAGAATAATTTAAAGTTCTTGAAAAAGGAGTCCCTCCCATGATCTACTTTATCATTTGAGGGCCAGATTCAGACCAAGACCTGTTGGTTTAAGAATTTTTAATTAATAATAATAAAAAAAATCTCCTATTACACAGGGTGAAAAAAAGATACCACACTAAGTAGTGGCTGTGGTAATTATTACCTTTAGTAAAATAAGTAGCTTACAGTCTTGCCATAGACCATAAGACCCAGATCCAGACCAAGACTGCAGTTGTTGTGACCATGTTTACATGGTTCAGAGACGCCTCAAAACCAAAACCACATGATTAAGACTTTGGAAAGGGTGAGAGAAATACTTCTGAGACACCAGTAACTAAAAGGCCTAGAAATTGACAGGAAACTTATAGAACAAAAACATGTTTTACCAAGGTATGAAGACAAACAGTAGCAAAATCATTAATACATAGATTATTCATTATCCTGCTTAAAGCCTTTTGACGACCATGAGAAGATAATCAAACATATCAGCTAGGTAACTGATTTGCCAGTAGACGGCGCTAAAAGGAGGTGAAACAGCCTCACAAAACAAGTAGCATTTTCATCATCAAGTATCGAAGCAGATGTACAGGTGCATCTCAATAAATTAGAATGTCATGGAAAAGTTCATTTATTTCAGTAATTCAACTCAAATTGTGAAACTCGTGTATTAAATAAATTAAATGCACAGACTGAAGTAGTTTAAGTCTTTGGTTCTTTTAATTGTGATGATTTTGGCTCACATTTAACAAAAACCCACCAATTCACTATCTCAACAAATTAGAATACTTCATAAGACCAATAAAAAAAAACATTTTTAGTGAATTGTTGGCCTTCTGGAAAGTATGTTCATTTACTGTACATGTACTCAATACTTGGTAGGGGCTCCTTTTGCTTTAATTACTGCCTCAATTCGGCGTGGCATGGAGGTGATCAGTTTGTGGCACTGCCGAGGTGGTATGGAAGCCCAGGTTTCTTTGACAGTGGCCTTCAGCTCATCTGCATTTTTTGGTCTCTTGTTTCTCATTTTCCTCTTGACAATACCCCATAGATTCTCTATGGGGTTCAGGTCTGGTGAGTTTGCTGGCCAATCAAGCACACCAACACCATGGTCATTTAACCAACTTTTGGTGCTTTTGGCAGTGTGGGCAGGTGCCAAATCCTGCTGGAAAATGAAATCAGCATCTTCAAAAAGCTGGTCAACAGAAGGAAGCATGAAGTGCTCCAAAATTTCTTGGCAAACGGTTGCAGTGACGTTGGTTTTCAAAAAACACAATGGACCAACACCAGCAGATGACATTGCACCCCAAATCATCACAGACTGTGGAAACTTAACACTGGACTTCAAGCAACTCGGGCTATGAGCTTCTCCACCCTTCCTCCAGACTCTAGGACCTTGGTTTCCAAATGAAATACAAAACTTGCTCTCATCAGAAAAGAGGTCTTTGGACCACTGGGCAACAGTCCAGTTCTTCTTCTCCTTAGCCCAGGTAAGACACCTCTGACGCTGTCTGTGGTTCAGGCTTGCATTTGTGAGTCTTTATCCTGCTATTCTGACTTTATAACTCACAAGTGCGAGTTTATAACTCGCAATTCTGACTTTATAACTCGCAATTGTAACGTTATATATCGCAATTCTGACTTTATAACGCGCAATTGCGAGTTTATATCTCACATTTCTGTGAAAAAAAGTCAGAATTGTGAGATAAAAAGTCGCAATTACCTTTTTTTTTTATTCAGTGGCGAAAACGGGCTTCCATATGTAGATGATAAATAACCTTATTTATTTATTTATTAACTTACTTTTTTAACTATTATTATTATTATTATTTAATTCATATTGCATGCAGCTTTATTGACTCCGGACACTCATCTATTAAATGACTGACTATATATAAAATGTCATATTTGT